GTCACTGACCTGGTTCTTTCTACAACCACCATGCCTAAAATGCTGAGCATCTTCTGGTTCAAATCCAGGGAGATAGATTTTAGTTTGTGCCTCACCCAGCTCTACGTCATTCACTGCTTCATAGCGATGGAGTCTGGAATTGTCGTGGCCATGGCTTTGGATCGCTATGTGGCCATCTGTGATCCCCTGAAATATTCTACTATCCTGACAAACCACATGGTGGCCAAGATTGGTCTGGCTGTGGTGCTGCGTGGCAGCATTCCTGCACTCCCCTATCCCTTTCTGGCGAGGCGGTGGCCATACTGCAGAACCAACATCATCTCCCACACGTACTGCGAGCACATAGCCGTGGTGAAGCTGGCCTGCACAGACATACGCATCAGTAGTTACTACGGCCTGATTGTGGCATTCTTGGGGATTGGTCTGGATGTGTTTTTTATCGCTGTGTCTTATACACTGATTCTAAGGGCCATCTTCAGCCTCCCCACAAAGGACGCCCGGCTCAAGACTTTTGGGACCTGCAGCTCCCACTTCTGTGTCATTTTAGCGTTTTATATCCCAGCTCTCTTCTCCTTCCTCACACACCGGTTTGGCCACAATGTGCCCCCGCATTTTCACATTCTCATTGCCAACATGTACATTCTACTGCCCTCCATGCTAAACCCCATCATCTATGGGGTGAGGACCAAACAGATCCGAGACAAGCTGCTCTGGCATATTACTCATATTGAATAAAGTTTTCTTCTGGTGGTCTGGCTCTCAGACCAAGCTCCGTGGAGATCTGGCTGGTGACATAGTGCTGTGCTCTCTTCCCTGAATCACTGACCGGAGACATTAAATTCTTTCTTTACCTCATAGTGCTGTATCAACCTGACAATCTGGGGAATCCATCTATGTACAACTCACAGGGTTGCCACATTTCTTATTGCTGGTAACTGGACACCTGAGGCTCCGCACTTTGCCCCACCTGTTCCCCCATGGCCCTGTCCCTGTCACTCAATCCTCTCCTCACTATCCCTATTACTCGCTGGATCATCTCCACACCCCTCCTTACCCCAGCTGCATCCTACATGTTCCGGGGCTGGAACGGGAGTTTCTGAAGCCTGAGGAGGAACCTTCCTGCTGGTAGAAGGCAGGCCCAGTTGAGCAGGGGCTGATGTGGGTTAATGACACAGTGTCTCCCCCCACTTTGCTGTAACTGGACACTGACAGATCCCCTTTTCGACTGGACATTCCAGCTAAAAAATCGGGGGGAGGGGTGGTTAGTGGTGTGGGACCCTAGCATCCTGGGGTGGAAGTGATGGGCTGGAGGGTTTAGAATTGATATTAGTGTAAGCAGAGTCGGGATGAGCTCTACCCTGACATCTGGTGGTGAATTATGGTGAGTGTGGAAAAGAACTCCAGGGGCTGATCTTGTTTGCATAAAAAGAACAGGAGTACTTGTGGCACCTCAGAGACTAACAAATTTATTAGAGCATAAGCTTTTGTGTACTACAGCCCACTTCTTCAGATGCATATAGAGTGGAATAAATATTGAGG